CCCCCTTTCATTATATAAATTATGTCGATTAAGGCTCAAAACACTTACAACAAATGTGATAGTATTTGTATTAGTAAAAATTGTAAAGATTTATCGCCCCTATCAACACTGTTAGGTTATTTAAGTAGCAGGACCCGAGTTTAACGTCCATCTCCGAAAGGACTGAGCCAATGGGAAATCCGTGTAAAGCGCCTTTCCCAAGGACACAACGTCGGACCGAGCTGAGGCTCGAACTCCCGACCCACAATCTCACGATTACGGGTCCGGTAGCCTAACCACTAGGCCACCAACGCTACGTAGTATAACTTATAATAAGTATAAAGTAAGCTCATACTTCTTTCTTTTCTTCCACAGCCCTGATCGGCTCTGCCTTCCACGACCAACAAGAACCGGCCTTCGCGAACATGCGCATGTTCCAAGCGCTGGGGATGACGGTAGCCTATTTGTATAGCAACTCTCTGTGCGAAGACGTCAAACTGTACATCGCCGGCGCTCTTCTCGTGCTCGCCATAGCGCTAACATCTGTGGTGGAGGTGAGGATCAAGCGGAAACCCAGGCTCATGTATGACAAGATGGAGGAGGAATGAAGGCTGGGATAGCCATATCATTATTATTATTATTATTATCATTATTATTATTATTATTATTATTATTATTATTATTATTATTATTATTATATCATTATTATTATTATTATTATTATTATTATTATTATTATTATTATTATTATTATATCATTATTATTATTATTGTTATTATTATTATTATAATTGTTTTTATTATTATTATATTTTTTAAATTAATATTATGTTATGTCATAATACTATGTGAATAGATGTAATGTACGACAGACAGACTGACAGACAGACAGACAGACAGACAGACAGACAGGCAAACAGACAGACAGATAGCAGATAGATAGATAGATAGAAAAATAGACAGACAAACAGACAAATAGATCGATAGATCGATAGATAGACAGACAGACAGACAGACAGACAGACAGACAGACAGACAGACAGACAGACAGACAGGCAGACACGTCGAATGTTTGTTCATGGTTTTTCCTTTTTAGGAAGGGGAAACACATCCACACAATGACGGTCATTTAAGTTCAGAGAAAGTGTAAGGCAGGCAGAACAGTAGGGGGGAAGAAAAGAAGTAGGACCGACCAGTGGCGCCCGCCAGCCATCAACACAGACAGACAGACAGACAAACAGGCAAACAGATTGATAGATACACGGGTAGGTAGATAGACAGACGGACATACAGACAGACATACAGACAGACAGATAGACAGATAGATAGATAGATAGATAGATAGATAGATAGATAGACAGACAGACAGACAGACAGACAGACAGACAGACAGACAGACAGACAGACAGACAGACAGACAGACAGACAGACAAACAGATATACATAGGCTGTGTGATATCCGTAGCAGGCTACAGATACGCAACACACGTAATAATTTTAAAACATTTTTGATTATTGAAAAACATTTTTTATTTCACATGACAAAACAAAATAACAAGACCTATGAGTCACAACGCGGTGGAATCAGGCTCTCGTCAATTTTGGGGCATGTAGAGTTATTGGTATCATCTTAAAGCCTGTTCATAATAATATGTCTTGCTTTGGATGAAAAAATATATCCATTTGTCTTGAATACAAGTCGAAATATTTGCGAATGAAGGAGGTGGGGGTCACCTGGTTTCAGAGGTAAAATTAGAGAGAAAATGGCCGCCATAGATGAGTTATTTCCTTAGCTTGAGAGTCCGTGGAAAATGAAAATTTACATTGTTTGCGTGCCTTTAATCAACGTTTTTCAATAAAATCTACACAGAAATGTGTTCTTTAATGGGCATAAAAGGTGTTGAGCCAAAAAATAAAAATTTAATTAAAATTCTCAAATCTGCGGAAAAATGACAGTTTTTTCATTTTGATTATTTTGACTAGGGCCTGATTTCACCACGGCGTTTCACATATTCTGTCGAAAAATCAAACTGTGTTCACGTGTTATTTAATTATTTTTTGTATGTGAATTTTCTTAAAGGTGGATATGGGGGCAAATACACATAACGCCCGCAGACAAGCATGAGCGAAAGCAAGTACACACATACTTACATAAAGACACACACACACATACACACACACATACACACACACACACACACACACACACACACACACACACACACACACACACATACACACACATGCAATCAGATACAGCGACATGTGAAACTGAAGCTCTTGCAAACAAATTCAAAACTTTCTCGACCAACAATTTCCAAAGTCCTCATTTTTTAAAAATTCACCTTTCTATTTTTTTGAAAAATTGTTTTTTACATTATGCAAGAAATCTTTTTTTTTTTTTTAATGATTACGTACAAAACGGCTAGATGCTCTCTCTTTCAGACAAGACTGCTTTTAGTTTTAGTAGAGGTTTTACGGCGCTCGCAACTGCGTAAGGTCATATGAGAGCCCAAAGATTAGAAGTGTTACAAGAGAGTAACAAACATAAAAAAGAAGAAGGGGATATCAGGATTATAGATGTCCGATAGGAAAGAAGAAGCAAACCACACCAGAGCACTCACCAACCACCCACAAGACTGCTTTACAGAAAGCCCACGAAAGAAAGACTCATGCAGAGACACACACACATCACTCGGTACTACTAGTACTACTGATATTATCACACATGTTAGATGGTTTGTTGAAGTAAATAGAAGCACATCGACGCAATAATGGTCATTTAGTGCTGGGGAAAAAATAAGACGGACAGACAGACAGACAGACAGACAGACAGACAGACAGACAGACAGAAACAACAGAGGGAAAGTAATAATAATAATAATAATAATAATAATAATAATAATAATGATAATAATAATAATAATAATAATAATAATAATAATAATAATAATAATAATAATAATAATTGCATTTATATAGCGCATATCCATGCTCCAGAGCTTGCTTTATGCGCTTTACAACTATCATTACCCCAGCAGACCCTCTGAGAAAACTCAGAAACATTCTCAGCTTCCGTGGAAGTAAAGAAGTAGGACCTACCAGCAGCGCCCCCCTCCCCCAACCACCCACCACGTTAGGACTTTCTGTGCAGAGAGTGTAAAACAGAATGTGAGACAGTATGGTGAAATCAGGCCCCCATCAAAATACAGAAATCAGAAAAATAGGTTTTTTTCCACCAGTTTGGTAAATTGTATTGATTTTGTATTAGTTTTGGGGCTCAACCTCTTGTATGTCCATATAAAAACATATTTCCATCTGAATGTCACAGAAAAACATAGATTAAAGGCACAAAATGAGTCATTTTCCTGTTTTCAAGGACTCTTTAGCTATTGAAGTTATCAAACTTTAGCGGCCATTTTCTCGCTAATTTCGCCACTGAAACCAGACAAAATGTCACTTCCTTCAATCGCGAATATCGTGAGTTCTATTCAAGATAGATGGATGTTTATTTCATTGAAAACAAGGCACATGAATCAGCTTTCAGATGATACCAATAACTCCACATGCCCCAAAATTGACGAGCGCCTGATTCCATCGCGTCGTAAAACAAATTATACTAATATCTCAGCATGGCTCATCATCCTCATCATAACCGTCCGGGAGGGCGTTGTAGTAGTGGTTGTGGAACAGGCTGTGGTTCCCATCGCCCCAGGGGAAGGACTGGAACAATATGGAGATCAGTTTGATAATTTTGACAGAGTGAGTAAAGTAGAATTGACACAATGATAAAGACAATCTTTATTCATCTCGCAGGGAGAAATTTGTCTTGGTCGTAAACAATGGCAGTAGACGTTACAAAGGTTATGTGCACTCACACATACGCACAACAAGACAGGACAGTAGTAAATACATGTCTCACGTGCTGCGACAACCCGCTCCGTAAAACATTCTCTCTCTCTCTCTCTCTCTCTCTCTCTCTCTCTCTCTCTCTCTCTCTCTCTGTGTGTGTGTGTGTGTGTGTGTGTGTGTGTGTGTGTGTGTGTGTGTGTGTGTGTGTGTGTGTGTGTGTGTGTGTGTGTGTGTTTCATTTGTAGCACTGTGTGTTCAGTAATCGTGAAGAAACACCATGAAGAAGTAAGACAACAGAATGTAAGCTGGGTAAATATATTGATTACACATGTTTGATGGAACCGCGCAGAACGAATACAGCACCTCAGCAGAAAGACAGAGATTGCACACCTTAAAATAGCTTCGCCACCCGCGGATCGAACACACGTCGTCGGAGGTGTTACAAGAGAGGAACAAACACAAAAATATAAGGAGGAGAGATCAGGACGATATGTGTTTGATAGGAAAGAATTTAACAAGCAAACCACACCAGAGCACCCGCCAACCACCCACTGGATGTTTTTGGACAAAATTTCTACAGTACTGGAATTGGATGGGGCTCCTGCGGAAGATCAAGGCTTAGTGGGAGGAGCAGAAGGCTATGAAATCAAACATTGCTTGGAACCATCAGCATTTTGGAACCATCAGCATCTGCACACTTCGAGATGTACTTCTTCAGGGAACGGAGCGCTTATGGGGATGCCCTGTGTGCAGTGATGTCGGTCCTTCACACAAGTAACACAAGTAACAAGTGACAAGTTCTACTGTACCCTGTTCCTGAGTCGGAGATGTGGCCAGGGGACAAACTCGTCCCTCTCTCTGTGCTGCTCGCCCATGAAGTAGGCGTGGTACCACACAGGGAGGATCACGCCCACAAAGCCGGCTAGGGTGGCGTACTTGAAGATCATGCTTGGGGCTAGGGAGGAAGAGAATTTTATATAATATATTGTAGTTCTGTTCAACGTGTTTGCTATTGTAGTTGTTGTAGTTATTGTTGTTGTTTTTGTTGTTGTTGTTGTTGTTGATGATGTTTTTGTTGTTATTGCTGCTGTTTCTGGAGGATCACGCCCACAAGGCCAGCTAGGGTGGAGTACTTGAAGATCATGCCTGGGGCTAGGGAGGAGGAGAATATATATATTTTTTAAAAATGGTTTTACTGTTTTAGGGTAGATCTAGATCTAGTTCTGTTTTTCGGTAGTTGTTTGATTGTGTTGTTGTTGTTGTTGTTGTTGTTGTTGTTGTTGTTGTTGTTGTTGTTGTTGTTGTTGTTGGTGGTGGTGGTGGTGGTGGTGGTGGTGGTGCTGTAGCATCACGTTCACAAAGCCAGCCAGAGTGGCGTATTTGAAGATGAGGCCTGGGGCTAGGGAGGAAGAGAATTTAGTATATCATATTTCATTGTTTTATTGTAGTTCTGTCAATTGCGCTGTTTGTTGTTG